GCTGATTCCCTTCTACCCCTCCAGATCCCCTCACGGAGGCCTTTACCAGTGCGACGATCTGGCAGTTTATACATGTATACATAGGAACCCCACGTGCGCATGCGTGCATACGTGCATATGCCTCCAACAGGGCCCCTTTTTATGACAATTTTCTGCCAAGAGTTGACCGATTAAACTTGAGCATTTTTGTAATGCTTTTTTTTCTCTGTCGGCTTTTATTTTTCTATCCTATTGGAAGTCAGCGACAAAGCTAAGTCAAAAGCACTGGATATGGGCCTGCCAGTGTGGCCCTGTCTACCGATGCCTTTGAATTGCACCGCTTCGGTTAACGCTCAGACGACTTCACAGTCAGTCGAGTGGTGGCGTGTGGGCTCTGGCCTCACCACGGCTTCGTGAAGCCGCAGAGGATAGTCGACACTTCAGGCGGAGTTGAAACTGAATGCCTCTGCCTGGTGTGGTGCCTGGGCATTTGATGCGATTGCCAGCCTATCGTTGGCACCATGCACGCGGATGGCTGCTGTGCAGCCGCCCGTAGGCGGTCGCACAGCGAAAGATTGGAGTGCAGTTACTTCTCCGCTATCGAAACTGTCCCCAGGATGGGGGCCGTAGATCATCGGTACGCAGGACCCACAGCCCGCATAAAATGCTCGTGGGCGAGTTGACGTCCACTTGTACCACCGGATACGAGCCGGGCCGCAACTTCTTAATGCCGCTGTGCGACCGATGTCGGGCCTCGGTGCGCGCCCTACTCTAACGTTGCATCTAACCGATCACAACCGTCAGGACAACGAGGCCGTGGCCCAGTGGTTGGCGGTGATGGACGTCCCGTTGTGCCTCACGGGCTCTCTCTCGAACCCCGGGTATTCTACACTTCGGGGTTGGGTGTGACTGATTGACGACGGCTAATGAGCCAGAAATGGCCATTCCAGTCTCCCTCGTCTTTGCCGATAATAACATTCTGCCTATATCATGCACCACTGCGCTCTGAGGGCCTGGTAGGCAGCCGGAAGGGCGAAACGATGGTTTATTTAGGTACAGTAGGTGGGCTAACTCATGAAATGCCAACCGAAATTCCGAAATGCGTTTGCGTTTCGGAAAGATTCTTTAAGTAGGGTTGTAAAACTAATTGTCATGCAGCACAATCCTATAATAATTCAGTTACCGGCTTTCGAACGATCTTACTTCCGGCTTCGTACGAAAACTATACTCTGTAAGAAACTGCTACGTAATTGGCATGCACTTTTCTTTTTGATTTTCGATGCCCCTGAAAGTCCGATTATATTTAATGGAAAAAAGCATAAATATAGTCATTGTTTGGCTCCTTCGGTAGAGAATTACGTCTTCTTTCAATTTTCTACTCGAAGTAGGGCATAACTGGGTTTCAAAAAAGTAATTGTGTGACCTAATGCCGTGAAATGGTCATTCATAAAACCTCATGTCTCAGCATTTACCTATGTGGCTTGTAAAGTTAACAATATGGATCAAATCCAATGCTAAATTTTATGAACCACATATGGTCTTCTCTTAATACCGTCGAGAAATTTGTGGTTTTCCGTACGCGGAAAATGCATGGCTTGTAGTTTTAGAGACCCTGAATGCAAGGGTAACGGTAGACGGCGTTCGAAATTATTCGGGAATTGAAACAGTTTTTGAAAACCGAATAATACCCTTCATTCGAGTATAAAACTGGAAGAACACTTAATTTTCTACCGAATGGGCAGAAAAATGAATATTTTTATGCGTCTTTTTCATGAAATATAATTGGACTTTTAGGGGCATCGAAAATCAAAGGGAAAAATGCCTGCCACTGAAGTAGCCATTTTTATAGAGTGTGGTTCTTTCACGCAGCCGGAAAGAAGTCCTTTCGAGACTGAAATATTGTAGAATTATGTTTCAGGCTGACTAGTTTTACAACCCTACATAATTAATCTTTCCGGAACGAAAAGGCATTTCGGAATTTCGGTTGACATTTCATGAGTTAGCCCACCATATGCCAGGCCTCGATTGTTTCCCTGGCTACGCGGTCATTACCTCTCAGATCGATTAAAACGTTCGGCAAAAGCACTGAAACCTTGTGCGTGTTTTGCCAACTGCTCTTTGAAACAAATCTGATATCTGTCCGTAGTCAGGCCTGCCTAGATTCGTACTTGTAATGGTAAAAGAACTCTTGCAAATTCAAGGTATGCGCAGCATCAAAGATAGCCCGTTCACTTGTTCCCTTTAAATGAATAAAGCTTTTTACAGTATTGTGCTCGATGATTGATGCATCATTGCAGCCTTTACCTCCCCTCACTGAGGTATCTTAATAGTCCTTCTATCGCCCCCTCAGCATCCATGAGAGGATTATTTAATTAGTTGCGACGTGATATCCGGGAAATGATAGACAAGCAACTGATTAGGCACTGGGACTTCGTCTGCTGACGTCATGCACATCTACTCTGTCTGATTTACCAGAACATCTTCCTAGCTAGCATGTGACGGATCAGGACCGCACACGACGAGTTGACCTCCATGAGATGGGGCTTCTCAATGTCTCTCGCGCTGTTTAGCTATGACGACAAAATATTAGGGCACCAGCCCTTTTTTATGAGCCCTGCTTCACGTTCGTAAAATTGAGGTGGAGTATCAAGGAGTCTTATTAGTACCGACATAGATGCTTTGTCCGCAACTACACCAGATCCGGATCTGGTGTAGTGGCGGACAAAACAACCATATCGGAGAAACTGGGGGATTACTCCGAACGCGAATGGCCGAGCACGCAGCAGCAGCAGCAGCAGTGAGGCGGGGAGACGCTAACTCTCAGGTGGCGGCACACTCGACAGGACCGGGCCATATTTCAAATTTCAAGAGGCCTAAATCCCCGCAAGGGGTGACAACCGCGTGAGGCGCGAGCTGCTCGAGTCATGGTTCTCAGGCCCGCAATCCATCAACAAGCACAATGACCTGCCGGTACCATGTTCCGTGTTGCGATTTTCCCTGGGCAGGAGAATCAGTCACGTGGGGAGGGCGCGGGCGAGCAATTATCCCAGTGACAGTGAGCCAGTTTGCCGAGCAATCGTCGCACTAGCATCCATCATGGATGACGAAATCGCGGCCATTAAGGACTCGGACCGACAAGCCACCGCCGCATCAAATACGACCCCAGCGGTGATTGCGAGAACTGTTAATTTCAGTGCGCATACGGTCCACGGCAGCCACGTGCTATAAATACTGCGCTCCTGGTGCCACCATCACCTTTATCTGCGAATGTCTCTGATGATGGATTCGAATGAGAATCCGAAACGTCAGACCAATAAATTTCTTGTTACAGTGATCGCATCCTTATCTTCTGAACTGCTCTTTGTTCCTACCGTCTAAGCTATCAGACACATGGCGGTCTTCAAGTGAAGTTCAGGGAAAAGCGGACGTTGGGCGTGAATTTGAAAATGTTGTTAGGAGGCCTTCTAGAGATGGTCTTAAGGTCGGTCCTTTTTCTGCAAATGAGTAAGCTGGTCGTTTAATTTAGTACCCTCCGTCTGGAAAACTAGGAATCCCATGGACACTACAGAGTTTGCATGAAGACTCTTATGCTTGTGCGTAGTTAGAACGATCTGCCTTACTTGACGGCACAGGTACTAGCTAAGTCTGTTTTGAAAGAGTTACTCCGAGTTCGCGCCTTCGTTTCCTCGGAAATTAAACAAGGTAAGTTGAAACTGGAGTTCATATACCAGAACACACACGGGTAAAGCTGGGAGATCCACTGACGAACCGAACCCCTCGCAGCTGCGTCGTGCAGCGGCATAAGGTCGGCGACACACGCGTGTCTGGGCTTTTAGCTAATACTAGCTAAGCACTGCTTACCTATGCATTTACCCTCCGTCTGGGAAACTAGGAATCCCATGGACACCACAGAGTTCGCATGAAGACTCTTCTGCCTGTGCGTAGTTAGAACGATATGCCTTACTTGACAGCACAGATACTAACTAGGTACTGCCTACCTATGCATTTACCGCTGGCAACCTGTTGCTAGTTTATGAATATTACGCGATTTCTTCGCTGTGGCTGATGAACATCGACGCAGCTTTTCATATCTGAGTTTATAAGTCTCAATTAATTGTGCGAAAATTAGAAAACTGCAATTTCTTACTCAGTGAAGGCCCTCGTCATCTGCACATATTCACCAAGTGGCATAATATGCTGGATTAAATAAATTATGTCATTTATTCTTGGTTTTGAGGTCCCCTAGGCGACTGCCATCGTTGCGTTGCCCCAGTTCTTTGTTCAAAGTCCCACCACGTCTGAGTTATTCGTCTTCCCTGTCCGCAGCCACAGGTGTGGCACTCTCACGCACGTAGTGCCCTTCACTCGCTGACTGGCTGGTTACCCAGCCTGTCTGGTGTGCGCCGACAGTTTCACGGTAGTATATTATTACCGACAAAGACAAGGGCGACTGGTAAATGAATGGCCATTTCTGGCCTCTAAGTCGTCGTCAGCCAAGCATACCCAATCCCGAAGTGTGGAACACCGGATGCTCGAACTCGCGACCTGTTAGTTAGAAGTCCATGCCTCTAACCACTGGGCCACGAGCCCGTTGCCCTCTCGGTTTTCGATCGGGAATATACAATGTTAGAGGACGCTCACCGACTTCTAACTAACAGGTCGGGAGTTCGAGCCCCAGGTGTTCCACCTCGCGGGGTCAGACATAACTGGTTGACGACGGCTAATAAGCCAGAAATGGCCATTCCAGTCTCCCTTGTCTTTGTCGGCAATAACATACTGCCTTTATCATGCGCCGCTGTGCGGATGCTGGTTCGGCTCGAGAGAGTCTTAAGGCACAACGGAATGGGTGAGTTCTGCACCCGATAGTGTTTCGCACCAGCGTCCCGTTTTACAAGTTGACAGTGATGGGCACCGGC